CTGTCCGGGCCGGAGTTTGCCCCGCCGCTGCAGCCAGAGAAGGAGGGGGTGCCCAGACCCGGCGGGGGCCCAACTTGGCACCTCACGGGTCGCTGGGCCTGTTCTTCACATAGACTGGGGTCCCAGGCCAACAGTCAGGCCTGGGCTCTGCCTCCCTTGCTTCGTAGATGGGGAAGACCAGGCGGAAAGCCCGCTGACCTCCAGGCTTTGGGGAAATTCCTGAATTCCTGCTTTAAGTCAAGCTCTGAAAAACATTTCCAGATCCTCTCCTCTCCCCGAAGCGTCCCAGCTGTCTCGGGACACCTACCGGGCTGGATTAATCTTCCCCCGAGAGGTTAATTCGCTTGGCCCTTTGTCCTGTCTCCAGGTGACTCTTATCAGTGTGGATCAGAGTATGTTGTTTACCGCTTTGTCTCTGCGGTCGAGAGGCCCCTTCCCGGGCCTTAACCTCTGCTGCATTTCCAGTCTGGCCATTGGTCGGTGCACAAGTGTTTATAGAATTGAAAGGCCTTCTGGAGACCTAGAAGAATCTCAGTTCACAGAGGCTGATACTGCTCCAGCCTGGCTTAGCTCCTGTTGGCTGCTGATTGATTTGCACCCGTCAGTTTTTAAGGAAAGCTAAAGGGGTATGGGGGTGAAAACGCAAATCCATTCATTTTGCTGCATTAGAGAATGTCAGGTGAGGTGTGACTTTCACCCCCAAAAAGGATTGATGTTTCTAAGACCCTCCCGGCCTTTATAAGGGTTATTAAAATTTCAAGACCATTAGAAAGTTAACAAATATGGGAGTGAAAGGTCCTTCTGAATAGAATTTGTAAAATGAGTTCTGGAGAGATTTGTTCTTACTACTTTAGATCCTATTAGTGGTCACGTAAAATGGGCTTCTCATCAGAAAAGTGGTTTTGTTTAAAGTTCAGGAGAAATTGTGTTAGGCGCTCATCTGGAACTACAGGCACTAAGAGCACACAAATCCTTCTAATCACTATTGAGGGATTACTACTAATGTTGCGTTGTCATTAATTTGTATGTTTAAAGTTAAAAAGAAAACTCTGTATATTTTCTCATAGTGAATTCACGTTTCGACCCCTGTGATTGTGACGCAGTGGATCAGCATGCCCTAGCCTTTACGATTGCATTTTTACTTCACAGCATTTAATAATTATCCTTATACTGAACAGCCAAGCAATTTGAATTTACTTACTTTGTTAAAGTTTAACAGAAATACATTAGGTTGCTGAAACCAAAATGGGGTTTAATTTGTTAACTGAAGACTTTCTTGCCTTGGTAGTAGTATCAATTTTTTGAGAAACAGGACCATTGTATTCTTGTTTGTATTTTATTTTTTTAAAGAATTATTTAATTGGGGGTCGGCAGGTGGTGTGGCAGTTGGGGTGCTGGACTTCCACACGGCCAACTGCCAACTGTGGTTCGAGTCCTAGACCTGGTGGCTTGCTTTCTCCCTTTCTCCCTCTCTCTCAGGTGAAATTTAAATAAATAGATAAATAAATGTTAAAAAAAGTTCTTTTTTTTTTTTTTAGA